TGAAATGAAATGAAATGAAATGAAATGAAATGAAATGAAATGAAATGAAATGAAATGAAATGAAATGAAATGAAATGAAATGAAATGAAATGAAATGAAATGAAATGAAATGAAATGAAATGAAATGAAATGAAATGAAATGAAATGAAATGAAATGAAATGAAATGAAATGAAATGAAATGAAATGAAATGAAATGAAATGAAATGAAATGAAATGAAATGAAATGAAATGAAATGAAATGAAATGAAATGAAATGAAATGAAATGAAATGAAATGAAATGAAATGAAATGAAATGAAATGAAATGAAATGAAATGAAATGAAATGAAATGAAATGAAATGAAATGAAATGAAATGAAATGAAATGAAATGAAATGAAATGAAATGAAATGAAATGAAATGAAATGAAATGAAATGAAATGAAATGAAATGAAATGAAATGAAATGAAATGAAATGAAATGAAATGAAATGAAATGAAATGAAATGAAATGAAATGAAATGAAATGAAATGAAATGAAATGAAATGAAATGAAATGAAATGAAATGAAATGAAATGAAATGAAATGAAATGAAATGAAATGAAATGAAATGAAATGAAATGAAATGAAATGAAATGAAATGAAATGAAATGAAATGAAATGAAATGAAATGAAATGAAATGAAATGAAATGAAATGAAATGAAATGAAATGAAATGAAATGAAATGAAATGAAATGAAATGAAATGAAATGAAATGAAATGAAATGAAATGAAATGAAATGAAATGAAATGAAATGAAATGAAATGAAAATGAAATGAAAATGAAATGAAATGAAATGAAAAGTCATTTATTCAGTCTAGGCTGTTACAAGCACTTGTGAAGGTCAAGAAGCTACGCCATCGGTTCGCAAAACTACGGCGGGAGACCTTGTACTGAGAAGAACCGGCAAGAAACTCAGCAAGGGCTGCTTTTTTCTCCCTGTATTGATATATACAGAGTCGTCAAGTTGAAAAATGATTTCAGAGATACATCTGAAGTCACCTTCCATTACATTATTAAGGATATAGATATATAGTTACAATAAATTTTATATTTAGTATATAGGAAGCGGCATTAGATAGGTACCATATTACTGTTTCAAAAACTGACTCATACTTATCAAATAACAAATTACAAGAAACACTATGTCCATGCATTTCGATCATTTAGATAATCATTAACTTTATAATAGCCCTTATTCATAAGAGTATTCTTAATCTGAGATTTAAATTTGGTTAGTGGAAGCTCAATCAGATCTTGGGGAACTTTGTTAAACAATGCAATACTACATCCCAGAAATGAACCTCTTGATTTTTGGAGTCTGAAACATGGAACGGCAAGTTTGTTATTATATCTCGTGTTAAAGTTATGGGTTTGACTTTTTTTTGTAAATGCGTCATAGTTTTTTCTTACATATACTAAATTTTCATAAATGTATTGCGATGCCAGTGTTAAAATATTAATTTCTTTAAATTTTTCTCTAAGAGATTCTCTTGCCTTTAAATTATATATGGCGCGAACAGCTCTCTTTTGCAGTACGAAAATACTTTCTATATTAGCAGCTGAGCCCCACAACAAAAGGCCATATGACATAACGCTATGAAAGTAACCAAAGTAAACCAATCTTGCCGTTTCCACATCAGTTAGAAGTCTTATTTTTTTAACAGCAAAAGCCGCAGAGCTCAGTCTACTTGATAAGGCATCAATATGAGGATCCCATTGCAAATGCGAGTCTAAAGTAATACCCAGAAACTTTGTAGAATCCACTAACTCTACAGGCTGGTCATTTATTTTTAAACTAGTATTAACCTGCCTCACATTAGGTAAAGTAAACTTAACACATTTTGTTTTACTAGAGTTTAGTTTTAAATTATTTACCGTAAACCAGTGAAGGACTTCAGAGAGAGCACAATTTACTTCGTCATAACAATCATTTCCTCTCCTAGCTTTAAACACTAAAGAGGTGTCATCAGCCAATAGTACTGTCTCACACAAATCTCTTGTAAAGTGAGGAAGGTCATTAATATAAATAAGGAAAAGCAGTAAATAGATTGTTTAAGTGACGTAGGCATAAAGCGAGAAAGGATTTTTGAATATTCCACCGTGAATTGGGTGATATATGGGGGATTAAAGTTTGTATGGGAAAACGACTTTGGCTAGCTTGACAGCTTTAAAACTTGGTTTAGATAAACTGAACTGAAATAAAAAAAAAAGAGTTTCATATTTTTTTGAAATTCAATCTCTACGACGAGAAATAAGGATAACAACACGGACCTGAAAAAAAGACAGACGTATACGTAAGGGGCCGTTCAAGTATTACGTATGCACTAAAGGGGGACAGGGGGTCTTTGCTTTGCTTATTTTTGATGACATGGGGGGGGGGGGGGGGGGATCAGCATCATGGATTTGGGTGTCATGGACTGACTGTTAATTGGAATTAATATGTATACCTAAAAATTCGTTTTGTTCTTTAGTAGTTCTTTAGTACTTAATAATATTATTAAATGTAAATTAATGTCTTTAATATTAAGTATGAGGTTAATAATATACATTTATAATAATTAAATAATCAGTGCAATCAGGGCTAACTTGATAATAACATTATTTTTATCATAGGAACTACCACAAATGCTAGTGGTGAGTGCATCCGCCCGGACAGGGGAACACGCAGATTTGAGTCCTGTCTGAAACCTTGACAGAGTTGATTTTTTTCTAGAAAATATCTTAATATATATATTACGGAGTAATACTTAATATATTTATTATTATTTATATCTCACGGAGGACCAGCTTGATAAACTTGAGCGGCAGAACTTCTGTATTCGATTCATATTTGGCCTGCGCAAATATGATCATGTATCTCAATTTCGTTTACAGCTCAAGTGGCTACCTATTCGCCTTCGCCGGAATACATACATCCTTACTCTTCTGTATAACATACTGTTCAATCCTTTGTCCCCACACTATCTTAAGGAATGTTTTAATTTCCTTCACACTTCGAACACATTGTCCCTTAGGTCATCAGAAAATCTCGCTCTCATTACTCCTGTTCACTCTACAACTTTTTATGGCCGTTCTTTCGCAGTACAAGCCGTTCGTCTATGGAATGCTCCAGTTTCCATAAGACGTGCAAAATCACTCCACATTTTCAAAAACCTTGTTAGATCTCACTATATGTCCTTGTAACCCTTCCATTTTTGTTGATCTAAGCTGAATGAATTAGATATAGGTATGTATGTATTTGTGTATATATATATATATATATATGTATGTATATATATTTATGTATATGACTATGTATGTATTCTTGTAGGTATATAATTATTTGTATGTATTGTTTTATATACTTATTTTGATTATATTTGTTAGAATGATTTTATATTGTTTTGTAGTTAATTACACCGCCGTCTCTCCAGCTTCTTTCCTGTCCTCTCCATCCTAAGGTTGTCTGGAAGAGATCGCTCTTAGCGGTAAGACCGCCCATTATTACACTGTATTCTTTAATTATGTACTTCATGTTTTATGTTTTCTGTGGTGTAAAAATAAAGAGTTTTGTATTGTATTGTATATATATATATATATATTACGCGTCACGTTGTTTTTCCTGGATGGATTCCTAAAATACCTATCCGATTTTAATGGAATTGGCACACCGCGTGCTATTAAATCCAACTTGAAAGATACGATAGCTTACATCTCAATTTATAGTCAAATATTATTTTATTGCAAATTATTACTTTTAGGGTGTACAAAATTCGCCGTGTCAGCTAGTATTCTATAGATTAACTAGCTGATAAAGCGAACTTCGTACCGCCATTTAAATAGGGACTGGTGGTAAAGGATGAAAATTTAGGGTTTTTAAAAGTTTTCCAAAACAAAAATGTTAGGTGTGTGTAACTTAGTGTTCTAATTACCTGGGATAATATTCCTCCTAAACCATATGAGAACAGTATGTTACAATACCCAATAGTTTGAATTTTGGCGGTTTCAGAACACTATGTCAAAGGTCTACCCTCATCATTTAAGGGTAAGAAAAATATATAGTAGCCGATTCTCATTCTCACAGAATATGCATATAAAATTTCATAAAAATTGGTCAAGCCGTATCGGAGGAGTATGGTAACTAAAATTGTGACACGAGAATTTTATATATCAGTTAAATCGCGCAGATTGCGTACGGAACGAAAAAACAGCTAAGGCTGTAGTTATAAAATCTACATCATCAAAATCTGCACACAGTACTGGCAGTTGACGGGTTCCAACGGGTTTTTGTTTTCTTCTCTGCAGTATCGAATACTAAAAAAAACGTACAGTAGTCGCGTATAATGTGTAACATTTGAAACTACACCTTATATTAGTAAAAACAGAAATAAAACCTACTACAAAAGGAAAAGCTGACCCGGCGAACTGCATACCGCCTTTATAACATAAATGTGGCTATCTTGAATATCTAGCTCAATTAAATTTAAGACTTTACAAGCGAAATAAAACAAACACAATAAAGTTGAATAGTTTACTCGGATAAATCTAAATATAAAAAAAACTCGTGTTAGTTCTAACTAACACTTATAACTCAAGAATGGCTTGACCGATTTTTATGAGATTTCCACCATGAATGTGACGTCAACAAGTTAGTAAATGTGTTGTAAACCACTAAACGTTATTATCGTGTCACTGTGGTGTCTTTCGTCGGACTAAAATATATCTTAAAAAAAACTTACATCTTGTAGAAAAAAAACCGTTTATTGGTTTTGTTGACTAAATTTATGCTGGACGCCGGATTTGTGAAAGCAGAAACGACACTAACCTTTTAAAGGGTTCCGTCATTTTCTTTTATGGCACGGAACCCGATTGACAGACGGAAAACAAAGTGATCCAAGGGTTCCGTTTTTATCTTCTGAGACACGGAACCCTAAAAATGTGTGTACATACACACATTTTTAGGGTTCCGTGAAGAAAGAACTATTAGATAATACTTACTTCACCACGTTTCTGTGGGCCCTTGGCCCAATATTTGTTAGCATCTTGAAAAACTGCCGTCCTCTACTCCGAGTACCTGTAATAAACATAATAGCGGTGGTGAGTTACTTTTGAATATAAATTTTACCTATAAACACTATTTTAGTTTGTCACCACGCACACTTTTCCTGTATGCCTAATTTCCACTAGTACGCCAATAATAATATAACAACAAAGCCAAACCACAACCTACAAACAATTTGATAAAAAAATTTCAATCTTCTCTGGACTTTCCTTTTTGCTTAATTCAAAAAGTATTCATGGCAAAAATTTCATAACAAATAATGTCAATTAGTTAATTCTATTAATCCGTCAGTTAGATCGTGACGTCACTTTTAAGTAAAAAGTCATGCGACATTTCAAATTATTTATATTATACATGTATACTAGCTGACCCAGCGAACTTCGTACCGCCCTAAAAAAATAGGGGTTGTCCAGCGGACAAAATTGTGAATCTAAACCATTCTCAGATCCCCTTGAACACACACAAAAAATTTCATCAAAATCGGTCCAGTCGTTTAAGAGAAGTTCAGTGAGTGACATACACACTCACAGAAGAATTATTGATTGATTGTTTTGATTATGTGAACAAAAGTATTTATTAATCTGGAACAACGGAACCAAAGCGCGATTCAGGAGACTACAGCGCCATCTCTTGACCATTGGTGTAGTAGAACCAAAAACCACATCTTTATTTTTTGTAATAAAGTAACAGTTATAGGTATTCATATTTATAATATTTATCCACGTTTCTAGTTTGTATATTCGGAATACGTATTTGAGTTTCATACAAGTGCAAATCACATATGTTCTAATAAATTATATTCAGTAGCGATGTTCGCGCCTGCGTTTCGACAGCAGCAATCTCCCATGGACTCAAAAGCGATTTAATTCATAGGAACTTTTTACTTTTTACACTACCTTCAGATTTTTGTCATTCACATTGTTCTCACGTAATGGCGACGTACTAGCTTTATAAAATAATTAGATTTTTCATGTTAAAGTATTGAAATACAAACGTTTACCACATTACGGAGTTTCATTTATGTCCAAAGAAGAGACATAAAAAGTGGCGACCGTGACAGGACGATATATTTTGGAAAAATTGGCATCCTATATAACCTACAGTGGTTGGTGCCATAAGGCCACGTTTTCAAGAAGTTGCATCATTAATTATTGAAGATACGAAGATTCATACTATTCGACAAAGTTTGGAAAGAAAATAAGCCATTGCAGTCAAGCCGGTGTATGATTACATTAACTAAGTACAATTAGTACTAAATCATCGTGCCGCAGCCAGGCCAATGCAGCTAAGTGACTTTCCTTGTCTTTTATATCCAATTTTCCATTTCTAATCCATCATCCCATTTCCCTATATATTATACTATTTAACAAAAACTCCGTAAAATTATAGTATTTAATAAAACATATGTATTATAAAGCTTTAGTTAATTAACTTATTATAATGAACATTACCGTTTCTATTTAGCCATAACATACCTACTTTCTTACAAAAACCAAATTACACATCTTATTAATTGCAGTTTTGTTTTGTTACTATAAATAATAAAACAAATAAATCGAGTCATATAAAAGCATAATTATTTCTTCTAAATTACTTTGATAAAATTAACTTTAGTACAGCTACAAAATCAAATCAATAAATAATAACGAGACATATTGCTAAGAAGAGATTGTCTTTCTTTTAATAACAGTAATATTTTGTTAGTTTGTTTTTATGTGAATTTTCAAAGAGATTTGCCGAACATTTCAGCTTATGGAAATATCTATACACGGACAACTTCTCAACAGTTTAAACAGCAACAGCAGAGTTAACAGAATAAAATTTGGAATAAATCAATAAAGTGAAGGTGATAATAGAAGCTGAATTCAAGCCGGCCTCATTAAGGAACGTGAGCATTTTCATTTTTTTTTCAATTGTCTTGTTTTCTTCACTGTTATCGACTAAGTAATAGCAGTTAATATTCAGTACTCACACAAAGTTATTCAATTTTTATTATAAAATGACCAAGGAAGGTGAAGAAGGCAGTGACAATGATCATCAAGAGTTACAGTACTTAATTATTAAGCGAAGTTCTAATAAAGGTAGAATTACAAAGTTTAAAAATTTTTTGGCGAAAATCCGTTCTAAGGATGAATTAAGGTCGTTTGAATTATCCGAGTTAAAATTGAAGTTGAGTAGATTTGAATCACTATTTAATAAATTCGACGACTTGCAAAGTCAAATAGAGGTATTAAACTCTGATTCGTTGTTAGCAGAAATTGATGAAAGAGATGATATTGAACAGAATTTTGTTACTAACATTGCCACAGCTCAAAATATTATTCAAAGCTATCAGGCAAAGAGTGAAACTAATGCAGCCCATGATAATCTGAATTCTAGCAATAGGTCTGTTGTTCGTCTTAGTACTGATAACGAAGAGGTTCCCTTCAAATTGCCGCAGATACAAATTGCAAAGTTTGACGGTGCTTACTTCCGCTGGTTAGACTTTCGGGACTCATATTTGTCGATTATACATAACAATGAACGTATAGCACCCATACACAAGTTTCATTATTTGATTTCCTATTTGGAGGGAGATGCTTCTAGAATTATTTCAAACTTAGAGGTATCCAGTGCTAATTACGCAACAGCATGGAACTTATTATGTGAAAGGTATGACAATAAGAGGCAATTAATCAGTCATCATTTAAACTCATTATTAAACATACAACAAATTACTCGTGAGTCTGACAGATCGCTTAGATTTTTGGTGGATCATATCACTAAGAACCTGAGAGCTCTGTCCGGCTTAGGTCTCCCCACTGATAAGTGGGATGTACTCATTATACACATAGTATGTTCTAAGTTGGATAGTCGTACACTCACGAAATGGGAGGAATGGCGCGGCACTTTAGAAGAGATACCAAATTTACAACAATTCAATAAATTTTTAATCGATTGAGCGGATGTGCTTGGATCTCTTTTGCGATGTCCTTCAAATAATTTTAACAAATTTTCAACGACCCCCACAAAGAGTTCCAATAATAAATTCGAACACCCCCAAACTAAGTCTGTTGTTTGTAATCAAAGTTCTACATCACAAGCATGTGCAGTTTGCCATGGGGATCATAGGATATACGATTGTCCGTCCTTCAAGGCCAAAAGTGTACAAAACCGAATTGCAAATATTAATAAACTTAAACTCTGCTTAAACTGTTTAAGATCCGGACACTCGGTTCGATATTGCCGTCTCGGGCCTTGTCGTGAATGCAAGGGTAGGCACAACACTCTCCTGCACATACCTGACAAACTCAAGCCAACTGACGCTAATTCTTCCGTACCTAACGATAGCGTTGTAAATTTCTCACAATATTGCTCTAAAACAGTTTTATTATCCACCGCATTCATAGAAATTATCAATCCCGTCACCAACAATAAAAAAGGTGTACGTGCGCTTTTAGACTGTGGAAGTCAGTCATCTTTTATTAGTCAGTCCCTTAAGGACGACCTATCACTTCCAAACCATTCAAATAATCTTATAAATATTATTGGCATCGGCAACAACTCCTCTAATAAGGTCAAGGAGGCTTGTGTTGCCGAATTGAAATCTTTAACTAGTACATACTCAATTACGTCAAGCTTTCTAGTACTTCCAGAGCTGACAGGCACCATACCAAAATTCAATATTGATATTCGTCAACTTCATATACCTGACAATATTCAGTTAGCTGACCCTAACTTTAATCAATCCGCCGCTATTGAGGTTCTCATCGGCGCAGATTTGTTCTGGGATATACTTGGCTGTGATAAACGGTCATTGGGTCCAAATAAGCCCGTTCTCAGAAGCTCTCAGTTGGGTTGGCTTATCTCAGGTCCAATAAATTCGAATAAAGGCAAATCGATAAACATACAGTGTAACCATTCTATGATTCAAGATGATTTTCATCAACAATTAACCAAGTTCTGGGAACTTGAAGAGGTTCCGCCAAAGTGCCCTTTGAGCGAAGACGAGAGGGCATGCGAGGAGCACTTTTTGGCCAATACAACTCGTTTGAAGTCTGGCAGATTTTCAGTCAGATTACCACTAAAGGACTCACCCAATTCTCTTGGTGATTCTTATTCTGTGGCCAAAAGGCGTTTTCTAAATTTAGAGCGTAGATTTCGCAAGCATCCAGACATTAAAGAACAATATGTCAAATTTATAAAGGAATACGCTGATTTAGGTCATCTGTCCGTTTCTCCTTATACAAATCCCAGCACTTCTTACTTCTTGAGTCATCATGCAGTTTTTAAAACAAACAGTGAGTCAACAAAAATAAGAGTCGTGTTTGATGGCTCGGCTCCCACCACCTCAGGTTTTTCTATCAATGATCTTCTTATGATAGGCCCAAATATACAGGATTCCCTTTTCTCTATTTTAGTAAGAGCTCGGCAACATAAATATCTACTTACTGGCGATTTAGAGAAGATGTACCGCCAGATAGAAGTTCAGGAACAAGATCGCGACTTACAGCTCATATTATGGAGGGAAGACGAGTCCTTGCCTATCAGAACGTGCAAATTGAATACTGTTACTTACGGTATGGCAAGTTCCAGTTATTTGAGCACACGCTGCCTCTGGCAATTGGGAGAGGAGTGTTCTGATTTCAATATAAAAACTATAATACAACACGATTTTTACGTCGATGATCTTATCACCGGTTGTGATAATGAAGAATATTTAATCTACATACTTCAAAGCATTTCCGACAAGCTCAGACAAGGTTGCTTTAATCTAAGAAAACTTAAAACTAACATGCCTTCTATTTTTAAATCTACTGACATCAATTTCAATACAGAGCTAACCTTCAGTGAATCCTCGAGCACATTAGGATTAGGGTGGATACCATCCAGCGATACATTACATTTTCCAATTCAAGTTCAACAGCTTGGCCATCTTAAGGAGCCCACAAAACGTTCTATACTTTCAAATTTATTTAAAATCTTTGATCCTGTGGGATTGTTAAGCCCATGTGTAGTCTCAACCAAAATAT